GAGGCGTATGCGTGTTACCGGAGCGATGTGGGGTACATTTATGGGATTCAACTTATTGCCGCATTACTGCTATTACAGCTATCAACCCCAGCAGACGCCTTTATCCTTCTTGCCAATTGTCTTAACCGTTCTGTACCATTGGCATTTCAAACCGATGACACCACTACTACCAATCGCACTTATAATCATGCTGTGTCGACTCTGGGAATCAAGTTTCCACGTCTGTACGAATATTTGTTTGGGTCCGTCGAGCAAGGAGGTCTGGGTTTCCGCGGCGAGGAAGTTTTTGAACCGATGCTCCGGACAATCTTTTCAAACGGCCTGGATGTCGACCGCCTCAGTCGAATCTGGGATATATGGATTTTTGAGGGCGACCGGACACTGGTCAATGCGGCTGTGGCTATCCTGGGCAGTCTCCAGCAGCAACTTTTCGACATTCAGGGCGATACGGACTTGAAAAGACGCAACATTCAGGAAATGTTGGGATGGGGTCCGTTCAATCGTCTTCCTCAGTCGGGACACTGGAACCTACAGTTGGTCGGAGATGAGGACAAGTTTGTCGAAGAAGTGCGCCTTGCGGGAACACTCGACTACACCGGCAGATAAATATTAATGACGACAGTGTACACAAGTTTGTACAGATGAACATTCACAAGCATCTTAGACGGAAAGAGAGGTGCTTTGATTCTGAGGTATTCATTTTAATCAACGACGGCCTGAACCATGACGATTTCTCATTCAGAGGATTGGAAGAATTTTCTTGGACACATTGGTATCTTTGGATTGACGCCGCTGTTGCTGTCGGCTCTAATGATTCAACACGGCTGAGAAGATAGATGGTGCACATGTTTTTGAAGGCTGTGCACCTTTATATTTACAAAGAAATCTATTCCTCCACTGCCAGTTTTTCCCGTGCATAGAACCATGATAACTATTGTGCTATTGAAGCGGACACTAGCCAAGTATCACCCGTCGTGGAACGGAATGCTTGACTTCCCACCATCTCTCTATTGCCTTCTACTACGCTTCGCTTCGCTCTTGTAACTATCCGTGACAGTCTCATTGAAGAGAACCAGCCTTCGACCGTCCATCGGTGGGAGGAACGCGCGGATAGATAAATATCCGAGTCAATCGATGGCAGCCCTGCAATGCGCACCAAGTAGTGAATAAAAAAAGAGAGTATTTGTTACGTGCGTGGACGGGTCCAATCGATATGAGATCTATGTAAGATCTATGTATTCGTTTTCCTCTTCCTGATTAGTCATTACTCCTCACTCCTGTATGAGGAAGGTATGTACTTTCTGGGCTTAAGTTCGACGAGTAAAGCGGGTAAACCGAGTAAAAACACTTTCTTGAGCTTTCTCTATCTATTGATCACTTGATCGACTAAGCACTCCAAATATCGCCCTCTCTCCCTTACATATCGCTTGCCGGAAAAGTTGGAAAGGTGAAAAAAACCCAAAAAAACAAAACAAAAAAAAAGTCACGAAATGTACACGATACATGGTACATGGTCGCGCTGCATCTGCATCCGCGTCCGCGTCCGCATCCTTGTATGATTTGTAGTCAGTCGTCTTGTAGCCCTTTGATGTATGATTGTCCCTGCAGTCCATGGGTGGACGAGGGCTTGTCTTTGTTTCTAAAGCCTCGCCTTCAACCCCTTAACCCAAGCTTCGCCGTATTCCGAGTCATCCCCTGAGACCAAGCGATCCGGAAGTTCCAACTCTAACACTTTTGTGTTCACATACGACGGGTTCAATTGGTCGAGGGACGTCACGCCCATGCAGCGCATGGTCGTCTCAATTTCTTCAGATAAGACTGCGGGGGGGGAAATATGTGGTCAGCCTCAGAGCATTCGTCTTTCAACCGGGCTCATCTGCCCATGGACACTTGAAAAGGGTCGTAGATATGATGAAGTCAGAGCAGGGTGAAAACGACCAGCACTGACTTGGAATAGTGCAAGGGGGGTCACTCATGGGGATGAAAATAGAATGAACGGGCAAATACTTACGTTGGATCACCCTGGCCACACCCTCGTCACCCATGGCAACAGAGTACATGAACGAGCGTCCCAAGCCCACTCCCCTCGCCCCGAGGCACAAAGCTTTGATCACATCTGCGCCCCTGCGGATTCCTCCGTCCAAGTAGACTTCGGCCTTCTTCAGCAACTCGGGGTAGAACTTCCGGATCTCGAGCAGAGTGCGGATGGACGAGGGTGCATCATCGCACTGTCGGCCTCCGTGGTTGCTGAGATAGATAGCGTCAACGCCGTGTTCGAATACCGCGAGAGCGGCGTCTTCCGCTGTCTGGATGCCCTTGATCGCGATCGGACCGGCATCGTTCCTACCCTGGCGCCATGCATCGCGAATCCAAGGCAAGTCATCCCAATTGAGGGTGGACGAGTGGTGACCCCTGAGTGGGGGGCTATTTTCGTCGTCCTCATTGGCCGGCTTGTACCATTCTGTCAAGACGGAATTATCGCCGCTCGCAGTGGCCAGCTCTGCCCGGTAGCGTTCGTCCTCCTCGCGCTTGCCCACCACAGGCGTGTCGACGGTGATGACCAACGCCTTGTAGCCTAGATCCCTCGCCATACCAACTAGTTCGAGTGTTCGCTCCTTCTCGTGCGCAACGTACAGCTGGAACCACAGCGTGCCGCCATCCTCAGGCGAGAGGTTGCGAAACCGCACCTTCTTCTTCTCTTCGATCAAGCACTGCATCAGCTCGTCGTGCGGCACGGTCGAGTACGTGCTCGGGCAGTAGGGGATCCCTCTTCTGACCGCACCTCTCGCTAGACACAGCTCACCATCCTCATGCACTAGCCTCGCCCGCGCAGCTGGGGCGATAAAGAACGGAAGGCGGAATTTGGTCCCTAGCATAACCCTGGTCATGTCCACCCTTCGGACGTTGCGCATTATCCGCGGTCGTAGGGTGACTTTCTTCCAGTCTTGCCGGTTGTTGGTGAGGGATCCGAGACTGTCCGCTGCGGAGTTGAAGTAGACAAAGGCGCTGTGAGAGATGATTCGTGTGGCGGCCTTTTCAACGTCGTCCAGGTTCACGCAGTGGGAGAGGGGGATTTGGGCCATCTGGTCAAGATCCCGAGTCACCTGGGGAGAAGACGGGCTCGATACAGTGGCCGGATCGACTGAACCCAGGTGCTTGTCCTTTGGTAGAGAGCGTTCAATTGTGCCGGGAGGATGAATGGGTTCATACATGGCCGTCGCATCCTTTCCGCCGTACTGTAACAGGATCTGTGAGCCGCCGGGATGGTGGTCTAGGTATCCGGTGACATCGTAGACCTTGCCCGAGACAATAACCCAGCATGAGTCGCGCGAAGCGTGTTGGGCGACTTCGTTGCCGTTGAGCAGTTTCGCCATTGTTTTGGTCTCTTGTTTCTGCACGTGGACGCAACGAGTGCAACAAACGCAGTGCGTGCCCGGAGGATTCAACACTGCTCACTCTGAACCCAAGAATGGTGAGATGATCCGTAAGTCAAATAGTCTGTAGGTGAGATAGGGAGATGGACCGGTTTTATCAAGTCCACGGAGTACACGGAGTCTGCCAGATCGACCTAGGTCGGAGGATTATTATTGACAAGGGCAATCATCCCGGCTGAGGGGGTTGGCCGGCAGTAATAATAGCTCCAAACCGAGGCGTCTGTAGGCGCGGGAAAGCTTCGTCGTTCCCCCCGCATTGAACACCACCAGTGGTACCGAGAAGAATGCCGTGGGTGTCCTAATAGGCAAATAGGACTAATGCTATTTGTCCTCCTCACTCCAATGCCCACTGGCTCGAGGCTGAGATCCAAAGGGGACCTCCGAAGGCACAATGATCCGCCACCAGAGGGGCAGGAGTTTGGCTGCTTCCCATTCGCCAGCTGCCCGCATAGTATTCATCTTGATCGCCGCATGCCTTTGAAAGACTCTACCCAGTATGTATTCAATCCAAGGAGCTGGTGAGTTTCCAGTCCAATCACTCTCGCCTTGTTGACAATCAAAAGTTTGAGACTGACATGGCCAAGAGGGTCTCTTGACCAACCCTTGGATTGGTCCGTAACTCGGGAAAGAAGTTAACGACCTCGTCTTTAAGTACCCTCGGCAACTTGTGGACCAGGCTTGGCCTTTTCTCGAATGATTCTTTCAATTCTGCAACAGCGAGATATGAGTAATGATTGGGGGTTGTTGTAGGACGGACGCGTGACATGACAGACTGCGAGGTCATGTTAGCTCTCGAGATCAATCCCGGCCTGTCGTGTTGATTTGACGGTTGCCAGATTGTATCTGTGCCATTTTACTGAATGGTCTAGAAGGTGATCAGCGATGTTTGTGGATGGTATTGGTGACGGCGCAGGTGAGTGATAAGAAATTGACGCTGAAATAAACGCACTTTGAGTGAGTAAGATTGCTGCAGTTTGTCCTCATCTCCATCCCCAGGTCACTCACATCCAGGGATTTCCACATCTATCCCAAAGAATTGGGAATGTCTCAGGGCATCGACTTCGTACAACCTCGAACTCGTACAACTCTATACCGATTTCGAGTAATAACGGAGGAGGTGGACCTGTCGATCCCGCTGGCCAGTTGCGACATCTGGGTCAGCCGCCTGCGTCGGCGCGTTCTCATTTGTTTATCTCCGCAATTCGACCGACTACGGTGGTGGCCTTGGACCTTGCTTTACCTCCTTTGCGTTCGTCTTCGCACGATGACCACATTCGAAATTTTGGCTGGTGCCTGAATCCCCTGTTGCTACTCTCCGAGCTGCTAAGAGTCCTTGTGCTAGTCGGCAGGACGCAGTGCAACAATGGTGGGACGGTGGACAGGAAACTTCGGGCTGGTTTCGTATTTAATGCGAGCCATGTTCGCTCTCTTTTGACCCTTTGAGAGCTTTACCACGACGACGACGACGATAAATCGGCCTCTCTGTTTGAAACTTTTCAGATCGACTTTCAGGATACTCTATTGTCTCTTCGCATTGATTGACCGTGTCAGATCTGCACTGTAACAATGGTCCATTTGATCTTGACTGGAGCCACGGGTCTTGTGGGAGCATCCGTTCTCTCGCACATTCTTTCCCTCCCGTCAACGAGTACACCCGCCATTCATAAGCTATCAATCATCACTCGCTCTAGCTCAATCCCCTGGCTATCAACCACTCCTCCACCAGGGACGCCGGCCGTCAACAAACACACCCAGATCGAAGTCATCGAGCACAAAGATTTCACCTCATATCCACCGGACCTGTTGGAGAGACTGAAAGGTGCCGACGCTTGCATATGGGCCTTGGGCGTAAGCCAGAACGACGTGTCCAAGGAGCAGTATGTGACGATCACAAAGGACTATACCATGGAGGCGGCCAAGGCGTTTTCCTCGCTACGAGAGTCGGCGTCGTCGTCCATTTCGGGGTCTCCTTCTGAAGACAAGCCTGACGGGAACAAAAAGTTCAAATTCATCTACGTTTCCGGCGAAGGCGCGACGCTGCATCCGCGACCCTGGACACCCCTCTTCGGCCGCGTCAAAGGCGACACGGAACATTCTCTGCTCCAACTCTCCAAGACACCGCCCTACTCCAATCTCCTCTCAGTCTACTCGGTCCGCCCCGGCGCGGTGGACGGCCACAACCAGCCCTGGCTCTGGGAGCCGATCCTGAGGGAGAAGCGAACCGCCTTTCAGCGCTTTTACCTGGGGAAGGCGTTGGTCCCGATCCGAAGGGGTTTCCTCGGCGAGGGATTGCACACCCCGACCGAGGAACTGGGCCGCGTGTTAGTGGAAATGGCCGTTGGGGAGCAGCAGGGCCCGTTTGAAATTGGAGACGGCGTTGAGGTGGAAGGGGAAGGGCGGACGCTGGGGAACAAGAGGGTCAGGATGTTGGGTAGGGGGGAGGGATGGTGGAAATAATACGTAGGCGAGACATCCAACAAAACCCCAGAACTAGGTGGATTAATAGTAGTAGTATTTTATGGCGTTTGGGGTAGTATCTCTTGTGTATCTGTGTCATATATACATCAAATTCACAGCTCATTTACCTCATCATTCAATCGTGACTCGACTCGACGCGCAAAAGCAACGCTCTATACGTGTCTTTCAGATGCTTTACGGAGACCGGGTCTGTGTCACCTCCCTTCTTATCTTGTGTGTCGGTGTAGGTTGGATATCGACCAAGGAGAAAAAGGGGACAGGAAACCCGCTGGCTAGGACATTCCCAGACCGAACAGTACGGCAGCCAGCGTGACACACACGGTGACAAGCAGGCCTCGCCGGTCCATTTCTACCGCCAGAGCCCCGATCGACTCACCGGTAGTGCTCGCCGTCGCCGCGGGCGGATTTGAAAACAAACTCGTCGTCGCGGTCGGCGTCCCTCCGGTTGCGCCAATCGTTGCGCTCAGCTCGTCGAACCCGCTGTCCCCGCCACTCCGTTCAGCGCCAACGTTCGCCTTGAAGAACAGGTTGTTTTCCCCGACGACATTCCCCGGCGGCCAGTACTCGCACACCAAGTATATACCGTCCAGTCCGTTCTTGCCGTCACAGTCGGTCCACCCGCACCCGGTGGCCTGCGTGCTCTGCCATACCAACTGTGTGAAATGCCCCGTCGCCTCGGTGAAGCCGGTCGGATCGGAGCTGGAGAAGTTATACAGTGCCCGTTCATTGCCCCAAGCGTCCACGGCCGAGATAACGTCGGGGTATCCTCTGGCGAGATTCTCCCCGTACGGACCGTGCGAATGCGTCCAGACGCAGCCCTCGGAATAGCTCTGAGCGTACGACGCAAGGGTCTCGTTCCAATATATATATCCGGCCGAATGTTCGTAGCGGAAGAAGTTCGTAGAATTGAGAATCGACTCTCGGAAGGTGAGTGAGTCGGTATATTGGGGAGAAAGAGGCGTGGTCGAGGCGGCTGCAGTAAAGGTCTGAGTTATAGTTGTGCCAACAACTGTGACGGTAGCGGGATCCTGACACAAGACTTGGAGAGACAAGAGGGACAGGGAGATGATGACGGTGGCAGGAAGGGAGTGTAGAACAACCATGATAGAGGGGTTTGCAGGCGGGTTTTATCTTCTTTCAAGTCGGGGTTGTATATTCTTTTTCCTCCTTTTTCCGCTTTTGGATTCTTTTCTTTCTTTATGCAATATAAGCTGGCCCCTTTCCTATAACAACATGACGTCGCAAATGTAGGGTATGTACAGTATAGTTGGCGCTTTGGTGATGCTGGTAGCCTCTTTGATGTTCTGCGCCCAAGTACGTTCGGAAGGTCTGAACGATTGACGAAACGAGAGATATCGTCGCAAAAAAATCAAGAACAGCAAAGATACAGCGCAAAGGACAAGATGGTCAAGAGCCCAAGAACATGAGAGGACACGCCATGACTGAGACAGCGCAAAGCAGGTAAGGGTTGTATATGTAATTGATGAGGCGGAGTCACCTTGGATTCCTTTCGAAGGAGGGCTATTCGGGGCCACTAGGCCAAAGGTGCGTGGGTGCCAGGTGTTTGGGAGAGCAGATGGTCGTGATAGAAGCTGTGGTGATGGAATGGCCTAGGCATTGATCGATCCATTGATCAGGTGGTCAGCAGTAACGTCATCTAGTGCTTGACCCAGCCTCCCCAGCGAGCCGATAGGCGCGTTTAACAGCTCCAGGGCCTCAGAACCCAAGGCACCCTGCCACTGAGATGTTTTGTTCTAGGCAGTCCCGTGGTAGTCTCTAGTCGCCCAAGTGGAGGCGGCTACTAAATCGGACGCTGCACTGAGCGGATCTCCAAACGGCCGATGCCCGGAGCCTCAATATTAATAGATTTGGCAAACTCCATGTCTCATAATGTATGTGTGAATGTACTTACCAGGTCCAACCGGGTGACCGGTCATGACAATAGCAAGACTTGCCTGTGGATGCCACGTCTCTGCTGCTCACCTACATTTGCAAAGTATCCCGTCAGAATGTTCATGAGCCTGAACCCATTCTGTGTCCAGAGACATCAGCTCCCTGACCAGGTTGGTGACTACAAAGACCAAGGACGCATGTGACCCAAAAGACTCCAGGGGAAGAAACAAAGACGAAAAGCAGGGCAAAAGCAGACGGAGTAAAAATCACCTGTGTGCTCTAGAAGGACTTCCGTATCGATGTATCGCCATCGACCTGCACGTTCCCGGGTCCGCCAGCGATAGCAAACTACACAAGTGACATGTCTTTGTTTTATTTTCTTACACCTTACGCACAATACAGAGACCAAGAAGAGAAGAAAAAAAGCCCTTTTCTGTTTCAAATTCTCTCACTCACCTGCTTGTTCTGTCGGATGATACGCTTACTGTTTTTTGTTTGTTTGTGGAAATCCAGAATTCACACCTTGCCACGCTCTTATTTTGGAAAAAGGACCACTAAACATTTCTCTTCTGCTGATAACTTGGTGGGTTCAGATATTGCTCATCGTGTCTGCCGTGATGGAATAGTCTGTCGCTCGAACGTCCAACGACACCCCAGTCGATGGTCAGTCAGAGCACATGGAATTCAGAGAGGAAAAATCGGACAGACCCAGTATGTCTGAGCAATGACAGAGTGATCGAAGATGAGATGCTGACATTCAGTCTACAGTTGCGCCTTAGAAGGCACTAGGTGGAAAAGCCCTCCCTAGCGGTCTCAAGTTCTGAACACTTGGCCCAAGGGAGACGGTGACATTGGGACAGAACAGAGAGCGTCCCTCGACAGAGAAAGATTCCAATATTGGGGAAACCCTATTTCAAGAATCAAGTCACGCAAGATAGACTGGGCCATGATGTGTTCTCCACTCGTAGGTCCTGGCACGGCCGAAGAACAGAACCTCTCACCAACAACCACGAACGAATTCATGAACCCCAACGCGACCAAGATCCCCAGAGAATCCATCCTTGCTTTGTTTCCCACCGAGCAAGTATGGAGGAACGTGTCGGCATCCGCTCGAGAGAGCTCTTGCTTCCACCGCAAAAGCGTCATCGCCCAAGTCCTGCACCTCAGCTGCCTCAAGAACTGCGTCGTGCCAGAACTGCTCCAGCGAGGCAACCTGCTCGTGCAAGGTGCATTCCCCTTCTCGGCCATGTCTCAGGACATCGTCGAGAATCAACACGCGTGGATCGCTTGGGCCGTCTCACTCGACGACACCATCGCAAATGTCCTCAAACAGATAACCTGGCTGGACCTCCTCGAGGAAGAATACGTGTCCGTCGACCCGCTGTGGATAAATTTCTGGCGTCTGCACCAAGAATGTGAGCAATCAACTTCTTCCCATCCTCCCAGCGTCTGCACCGACACTGAACAAACGACGCCACCCTCCACCACCCTGCTTGAACTGGAAGAAATTTACACGGCATTGGCCCGGCATAACCGACGCAGACTGTTTTTGCAGATGAAGATGATGCAGGGCAGGGGCTGGACCGCGCGGCTGTTCGAGCCAGTGCCTCCTTGGATCCATTGGGAAGAGGTCGTCCGGAACATATTGAGTGCTGGAATGAGAGAGCAGTTCCACCACCCTGGATTGGCAAGAGAGCAGGAAACCGGGTTTGTCGAGGAAATCGAGGAGGAAGAGGAGGAGGAGGATGAAGAAGAAGAAGAAGAGGGAGAATTTGAGTTGTGAAGTGGGATCCAGATACATAACCGTCCTTGTTTTGAGTGGCACTGACCATGGCAGGGCAATCAGAGATATGGGAATACAACACGGCAGAGGAGCGGGGAAAGCTGGTCTGATGGCTAGGGCGTCATATCATGCAGCAACGAAAGAGAGAGGGGAAGAGATGCATAGCAGCCCGCAATAAACCCCCTAAGTAGCAGACAGAAGTTCTCTCGGTGCATCTTTTCGAAACAGAATGGCGGTCGCAGATCATATTCCAATCTACATGACGAAGCAGCCATCTCCCTTGACTTTGCCCTCCACCCTCGCTCTCAGCGATAACCAGTCACTCCTTCTCTCTGCAAATTCCACGACCTCTTCGACGGAGAACACCCCCTTGTACCTCTCCTGGTCCGCAATGATGGTGCTCATCTCACTCACATCCCTGTCGCTGGTGCCTTGGATCAGGTAGATCTGCGCCAGGGACCTCAGGGCGGTGAAATAGCTGTTCAAGTCCTGATTCTTGAATGTCGCGATGAACTGCGAATAGGCGCTGAGGTCGCTCAGCAGGTTCAAAGAGCCCGCGCACGAGATCCGTTGGCGTTTGATGTGTTTTGTCAGCGTGGTGAAGAGCCGCAGTCCGACTTCCGTCGTGAAGACGTCGAGGAGAGTCTTTTCAGTTGCCCCTGTGAGCATGGCGGTATGGTGCGAGACAAGATTGATCACGCGCGATGCAGTCGCTGTGGGCCTCCCTGAGAAGTCCAACACGGGCATCGTACTCGCTATACTTGATGGTCTGCCCATGCCACCGTTCAATATAGAAGCCATTGTGGTTGGATGATGCGTGGCATTTCCATCTTGCATGCCTAGTTCTGGATAGAAATCCGTGGGTAATTGCGTAGTGGCGCAGATATACTCAACCTCGTCCATAAGCACATCAATACCTTTGCCCAACCCGGCAGCAACACTCTCGTCGAGCATAGCCTCAAATTTGCGCTTCTCTTTGACGTTAATATCCAAGAAATCGTCCCGCTTAGAGATGCGCATGCGCACCAACTCGGACTCATAGAAAACGTCAAGCATTTGCTGGATGAGGTCGCCTACATTGACGAGCTCAAGAAAAGTGGCGAGGGGCGCAACCTGGATAGTTGCGGCGGAGTCATCGTCGGAGTTGGTATTCGTCTCGCGAGCCGAGTAATGCGAGAGGTGATCAATGGCCTTGTCAAACCCGGTCTTGACGTGCCGAATCCCCACGGTTTGTACAAGCAAGATAAAGATTGCCGAACACTGTGCGCGGGCCGATTCACCGGCTTCACCTCCTAGCGCGATG